AACTACACTTTTTGCATATTACTTACTAGATTCTAAGTTAAAGTAAAGGAGTTACTGGATTTCGAAGTCAGCGCATGCAATCTAAGGATAATAAGTGACTCGATTTACTAGTGGTTGTGTCTTGAGTTATATCTTGAGCAATTTAATAAAGTTTTGGCTCAAAATTTCAAGAAATGTGTAATTTCATGTTAGTAAACTTTATACATAAGTTTTATGACATTTAAGTATTGGATTTTTGAGATATTAAGAAAATAGTACTCAGGTGCTTGTAAATTAGGGTTTAGAGCGTCTGCTAGGGTTTCTTAGATGTCTAAAGATCGGAAGTGAATTTGTGGTTGTTTTTTTTTTGTAATAAAATTTAAGGATAAATTCTACCTATCCTATGAATTTGAAACAAACTAAACGGTTAGATCAAGAGAAATGAATTTCTAAAGTTTAGGACAAGAATACCCTTTGCAGAAAAAATATGTTTTGAAGGGATTTTGTTATATTTTGAGTTTTATGCAAAATAAAGGAGTTTTGGAAGCTAAGACAAGATTCATATAAAGATATAAGCTACACTTTCTATAGCTAGATACCTAGTGTATTCCCAGATTATAAATCATGCCATACGACATCAATGCATTCTCAAGTCAAACTTCACATATTACAACAATGCAATGCAGCATCTCTTAGGCTATTATAGCCAAATCCATTACCTATAGCACATTGGGAGTAAGTGATTATGGATCTCATTACATGTTTGTTGCAAACACTTTTCAATCTTATTATTGTTACTGTCTTTGTAGACCAACTTTCAAAGCAACTTCACTTGGCTACAGTATGCTCTGATATTGATGCCTTAGCACTTGCATGAGTCTTCTTCGACATTATCTTTTGCCACCATGGATTACTTTGTGTCATTATTTTAATTTGAGACCTATGATTTATGAAGAGTTTCTAGCATGCTTTGTTCAAGCTACTGGACAGACAACTTGCTATGTCTACAACCTTCTATCTTCAAATAGATGGATAAATAGAGTATGAAAATTAGACCTAAGAAGATATGTTATGGGCATTTGTGGTGGTTCACTATAATAATTAAGATGAATATTTGATGCCCTTGGAGTTTACCTACAATGATAGTATTCAAGCAAATATCAGTCATTTTCCAATCTACTTTAATACCAATCAACATCCAATTATGCCAACAATTTTCTATTTTCTCATTGATACCAACAATCCAATAACAGAGGAGTTTATACAATGGCTTACAAAGGCCTTGCAGGAGGTATGACATTGTCTCCTTATTGCACAACATCAACCACCATGACCACCATTGGTTGTGATTGATGACCAATAAGAATATAAAGTAGACAATATTTTGGAACATCACTACCTTTATTATGTCAATAGACATCCACAAGTTCAATATAAAGTTCTCTAAAAAGGTTATCTCATCCATGATGCAACATAGAAACCTGCATAGAACCTCATTTATTGTTAAGAAACCATTTGAAAATATCATGGAAAGCAAAACAAGGATGTTTTTCATTAATAAAGGGAGATTAGTTGTAACATGGCATAGATAAGATATTTGTATTATTTGTACATAGATGTATGTAGTTAGAATCATTTTTGAGAAGTTTTTAGAATTAAAATTAGGATAGTGGTTTATATAGGATCCACTATGGAACTTTAAAAAAAAATCTTAGGATAGTTATTATGGTAGGATCCACCTTTAGAATCTTTTAGTAGGATAGTTATCTTGGTAGGATCCACCATTTTGGACATTCTAGAAAGTTTCAAGATAATTGAACAAAGTATAAATGGGACTAATTGAAGTCATTTAGAGATTTGGTCAAGTATGGCTTCAGTCTCATTTTTTTAGTAAAGTTTGATTTTCTTCTTCCATTCTATTTGGTTCTGTTTGATTCTGTTTGGTTTTACTCTCTTTTATCTATTACTATCTTTCATATTCTATTCTATTTAGTTACTTTCATTTTTGTTCTGATATGCTTGATCTTATATTGTGTCGAGGTTTGTATTATTGTGGACTTAGTAAGATTTTAGACCTTAGAAAATTTAGTCTTTTTTTACTCAGATTCTCTTTTGATTGGTGACAACTCATATCATCAAGGTTCATTTGATTGTAGTGTTTTTATTATACTAGTGGTCGTGTAGTTGATAACAAAGTAGTGACAAGTCATGGTGAAGATGATCCTACTATAATACATGTCAATAAATTGATTACATCATTATACTTTGAAACAACGTGCGATTTGATATACTCATCATGTTGACTTTGATGTTTTTTAAATTGAAGCAGCTAGTACAAAGAGTACTTATTAACTAAAGACTTAGCTTTGTGGATGTACTTGAGGTGCTTGTGCTCACCAAATGATTGCGACAACCTCTTGAGATTAGTATCCTTTCTATTAGTACGTGGTGAAGAATAATTCAGATCAGGACAAAAGAGTCTTTGTAAACTGTGGTATCAAACGTTGAGCAAAGCAGTAGCAATAATCAGAGTAATGGTCATGATTTGAAGTTTGGATTTTATAATGCGTTGCTTATAGCAACAGATTGGAGCATGATAAATTGCAATAGATTCAACTCACAACAAATCAACCAACGTAATACTTCTTTTGATTTGATGAGGATTCTAGTATACAACATCGACAATATGATAGATTTAGACAAATTTAATTAAAATTTAAGTAATTTAGATTTTGTCAATTTAAGTTAAGATGCAATTTTGGATTTTGAATGAATCTTATTGAATGAATTATATTGGATGAAGTTGAATCAAGGATGAATTTAAAGTATATAGATGAATTATTATTTAAGAATGAAATATCATGTAAAGATGAAATTTTGTCAATGGATGAATTTTAATTAAATATAAATTAAACTAAAGTAATTTTTTCTAATAATAATCATAATATTAATATTTTTAATTGCATGGAATTTATCAAATGACTTATTAAATATAAGTATAAATTGGTAATAGAATTTTGATTTTATTGGTTAGATTATTTAAGAAGAATAATAAGAAAATTAATTAGGATTTAATTAATAACTATAACTTCTAAAATTTACATAGTTAATTCACTTATTATTAACTAGAATAAACTTCCAATTAGTAGAGGTTTATTTTAGCTCACATCAAGGTGCATTTGCTAGGAATCTTACCTTATATGTCTTAGGCTTGCTTAGAAGGTAATTGTTTTATCATTTTATGATTTTTAATTGTTTTATCTTGTGCTAGTATAATCTTTTGGTATTATTGTGGAATATTGCTGTATAGGAATTCAAAGTGAAGAGGGAGAAAAATCCTTGACTTGACATTCTTGTCAAGTTAAGTCTTATGAGTGATTTTATGAGTGAGAAAACTTGTTGTGAGAATTTGCTTGGCTATGGTGTTTTAGCCATTTTAGTAAAGCTTTAGGATTTTTCTTATTTTCACACTTGCACTCTTGAATTTTTCCTTTGTGGTGTGAGAAATAGCTTGACTTAGTTTGGTATAGATTTCTAATCTTTTCTTAAGAATGTGTTATATGTATATTTGTATTTGGTTTAAATTATATACTTTATAATTGGTTGGTAGCACTCAATGTATTGTGTATAATGATCTTTGTTTATACAATACTATTTTTTAATAAATTTATAATATAGAAGTTCATTTTCAAACAATAGTACTATCAACACCATAATTTGTACAAACTATTTAAAAAGAATTACATTTAAAAGATAATTATTTTAATTAGTATGAAATATGAAATAATTTCAATAAATCTTTTCTGCTATTTACAAATAAATTTGACTAAAGATTTAGTACTCTCAAACAATAAAGGCATACTATTCTTTCCTTCCTTTTCTTTTTTGTAATAAACTTACATGTAAGTTAATCTGATTTCAAATAAATTTATAACAAGGTCTTGATATGTTTTCTTCCCCTCCTCCCCCCCTCCCAATAGCTATATCAATTATTATTTTGTAAAATAATGATAAAATATAATGATAGGATTTTATTCCATTCTATTTTATTGTGTAAATATGTGATTTGATAATTAAAATCAAAATACATAAATACAAATCAATTTATGCAAATAGTGTGGATGCAATAAAATATCCTTCTATTGCATTCAATTGAATATCTCCAATCTAACAATTCAAAAAGGATTACATAATTTTCATAAAACCCTTTTCTATGTAAAGCCACATTGTTCAAAAAGTTGATCAATCACTTCTTCTCCGAGCACCAATTAAGCCTCTGTGAACTATTATGTGAACTTTTGGGCCAAGTGCACGAACTGAACGAATGTGGTCATCCTTCCTTAGTAAAAACGCCTTCTCATCCACAGAATCTAAATGGTTCTGGCCAAAACCACACCAAGGGAGGCAAGTCCCGTCAGCACTTCTACATACCAGGATATTTTCACTCCTTGCCATGATGGATGTACAGAGTTTATTCTTCATCCACACTGGGACCATAAGATTCCTCCGCCACTCCACTTCCCAAACAAAGATCATTGTAATAAAACCCACCAATCTTTACACTCAAGAAAGATAGAAAGCAAGAGAGACTGTGATGTCTATAGGGATTCCTTCAAAAAAGGAAGAAGAAGAATAAATGAAAGCATGAAAATGAAACTTATTGGGAAAAGGATTTAAATGCGTGAGGAACTTTTAAGTGTTCCTTCTATGACGAAAAAGTAAAAGCTGATAACGAATAGGGCTTGTTGTGGTGGATAATAAACCATCCTTTTATAGGCATCTACATTAAAAAAAAGCTTAAAGTTGATTGGATTTTATTGTCGCCTCCGTTGACCCCCGTCAGCAGGAGCCCACCAAAGACTCAGCTTCGTAAAAGCGAGAAAAAGGCCTTTTTATCTAGTTGAGATAAACTGGGCCGGGCCACAGTTTCCCACTTGTGTGGAACAGGTGACGTGGCACAGGCTTCGGAGCCTGACGATTCGGGGCCCTACTACTACCGTACCGAAGGGACCCCGAATGCCGTGTCTGAGTAGTGTGGAGTGTATGGAGCTTCTTCTACTCCAGCGTCGTGAAAAGGCCTTCTCTCTCTCTGTGTCTTTTCTGTCCCTCGCATTCGCGTGAGAAGCCCTGTTTTTTGCATTTCTGTGATGTCTTCGTAGGTGAATTCTAGTGTGCCGATCGGTGGTAGGTTTATTTTTCCCTTTTTTTGAAGTCTCTGGTGTTGGTGTTTTAGAGAGAACGTGGGTTGAGGCTTGAATTCGAGCGGCGTTTGGTCATACCTCAGCCTGCGGTTGTTATTGGGTGTCGGAGGTAGCATTAGTATTACATTCTTCATTCTTAGAAATGGCAATAGTTCTCTTTAGCAGTTCTGGCGATTAGGGGTAGAAGCATGTTCATAATTTTTCAAAACGTTGATTCTTTTCATAGCCTTTGTTGTGAAGGTCTTGGGTTTGAGCTTCATCGTTTTTGGTATCTTTTGTTTGTGAATTCTGAAAAAATTCATTGTTGCAAGCGCCTTACAACATCTGTAGCGGGGAAGCGAAGTCAATTTTGGGAGTGGCAGCTAAGTTATCCCTCAAAGATTAACGAGAGGTTTCAATATTCGGCATGATAACCATCCCGATTTGTCGAAGCACATTCCAAGGTGAGGCTATGATGTCGTCTTCACCGAAGAGCTTGGGTGCTGTGAGTTCGTGCCCCAGCCCCAGCCCCAGACGAAAATCACCCCATGGTGTGGTGACGATGGTCTTTTCCAGTGCTTCTGTCAAGGATCCTCAAACCACCCTAGGAATCGAGCCTTGTGCGAGTAAACATGAAATCAAGAAAGTATACAGGCGACTTGCACTTCAGTTCCACCCCGATGTCTGCGATGGCAACCATTGCACTAAGAACTTCCAAAAGATCAACTTTGCTTATGAGACTCTTCTGAGCATGACATCCCCTCAATTCGGGGAGTTTGAGGATGACTTGTCAGACAATCTTGAAGGTTTCGCAGGCGTTAACGGGGACTCGTGGGAAGACTGGGAGGAGTGGATGGGTTGGGAAGGCGTAGGTACCCGAGACTATTCGAACCATATCAATTACGCCACATAGTTGCCCAAATCATGCACGAGTTCTTATGTGACATATGATTTTACGTTGTATTTTGATGAACCCTCTCTGCAGTTGCCAATGACTGAAGAAACGATGAGTATGTACACAGCGGCGTTCGTCCCGTGTGGAAGAAGAGTGCAGTAAGCTTGTCCGCGAATTGCAGTTTATCTGCTTAGAGGTTGTATATTTGAAAAGGATGCCGTCGATTGTAAGGAAAAAGGATGACGTCATTGTAAGTATTCATCGCTCCACTACGCAGCCAAAGGCTTTGTGGGAGATTATAAATCTTAACTTTATCGGCTCAAGCCATGTGTTTTTACCACCAGTTCGTTTGTGTAATTTCGCCTTGGAAACCATTTAGACAAAAGAAATTTTCGTATTCCGGGCCACTATCTTGTGGGTACGGACGCTTGCTTCTATTGGTGATGAATGTTGAGGCGGGTTCGCATGGTTTACAAGTCTTTGTGAAACGTCAATCGCAGTGGCAATTGATGCTCCATGAATTGTATGGCTGCCTTGCTATAAGTTTTTGGCAGAACCCGTTTCTGGCTTTACGGATGCCTTGGTTGGTTACAAATTTGTGTAAAGTGTGGCTACATGCTGATCTTCTCTGATGCATGCATTTGATGTCACTTAGGTCTGCATTTGTGTCCATGTGTGCTTCATTCTGTTGCTGCTGGGTGCTCATTGCACTAAGGGACATGCCCTCTGCATCGTGGGGTGCATGAGGGGGCTCGCAGAGCACACGTAATTCTGAAGTGAGTTCTTATTGCTATTCGTATTTAGATTCTAGAACAGTCGAGAGGCTGGTCCAAAATATTTCGTAATTCTTTCCATTGCTTTGCAAAAAAACTACTGACATTTGAAACGCAGTTTAGGCAGCTGAGTTTTAAATGTCGCCGATTGTGGAGCGAAAACTAAGATTAGTCCAGCATTTGGGCAATGATCCAGCAAGTCAAAGTAGAGATGCGAATTCGAATACCACCGATCCTCTTGACTTGGTGGTTTCGATACTCGAGTCCTTAATGTGGACCTACACAAATAAAGCAACTCAGTGTTCATACCATTATGAAACTAAGCAGCAGAATTGCCAAATATACACCTTCAATGGTCCATGAAACAGTCTTTTTCTCCGTAGAGTGTAAATATCGACCAAACTAAGCACACGAGACCCCATCTTTGCCTGAGGTATATGCACTGAAAAAAATTGTTTACTTGATGTATATGATGTTCTCATCGTCATTAAAATCTAAATCCTTAAATTCATCATCATCCCAATCTATATCATAATCATCTGCTACTGCTTTTCTTGCGGTAGCTTTGTCAGGTGCTTTTGATTTAGACCTCTTCTTCTTCGGTCTCGGGGTTATTGGAGAATCATCTTTCTCTTCAAAATCAAGATCCAGATCGGAATAATCATCATCCACAGGAGTAATGGGCTGCCTTGGAGAAGTATCCCCACTTTCTTTCCTCTCACGGTCTTTCTTGACCTTATCGAGAAGTTCAAGCACCTGAACAATCCGATCACAATTTTAGACATAGAAAATATGATCAAAGTCAACATAACCTGAAATAAGTTGAATGTGCAGAAATAGTCATCTTCCGCAGCATTTGACATTGAAACTCCTCGGTGTTCGTAATACAAAGGATGAGTGTAGGTGTCTCTCCAATATTGAGATCAATGGTGAGGGGGCAAAAATGCTCACCCTGCTTCCTCTTTCTAAGGATTCGTCTTTCACAAAACGAACATCAGGTGTCATGCGTAAACTCATTCGCTTTCCCAAACCCATGCGTACATACTTGGCCTTTGACTTCAATCCTTCCAAAGCTACCTCTTGCTCTCTTTCGTCTCCATAAAGTGAAACAAATACTTTAGCAACCTGTGCGTTTCAAGTCATCAACCCCTATTTCAACGATGGTTTAACACATGTACCGTACCGACACCTCTAATGTCACTAGAACATGTTTTATAAGCAAACTAGAGGTGTCGGTTAGAGGCGAAGACAACAAGAAATTCCTTGTAAAACACTCGGAGGAAAAAGGAAAAAGAACGCACCCAAAAAAATATCACACATAAAGGGTCCTAATTACCTATTCGTAGGTCCAACACGATCTGGGAATTGATATCCCTTATATGGGCATCATATCACTGATACAAGAATCCCTCAACAAAATCTTCCAGTACAAACTAACCATCAAAGAATAGGAGAGAGTAGGGAGAGAAAACCTGCAAGTCATTAGAAATTTCAACGTCTGTAATGGTAGCCATAGACGATAAATACATATCTGCACCTAGGCCAGATTCAGGAACAATGGCCTGTCGAAGCACAGTATCATGTAATAGCATGTCAGCTAACTCCCTATGTATTTGCTGCTGAACCATCTTCACTCGCCTCGGGTGTGCCATGCAAACTACCTGCTAACACTCCCATAACATATTGTCAGTGGCCAGCCACAAAAGCAGAGTTCCCGACTATAGGTAATACAAAATTGCAATCTTAACATTCGTTGAAGTATGTGCATACGTGCCCGAAGGAAATCTAATACTAACTTGGAAGCCAAAGGGCGATTCCCATTGAAAAAGCATCAGTGTTCAAAAGCATTACTAATGTCCCTTTGATGCAGTCCCTACCCTGTGGTATCCTATCGCACAGTTGTTTCAGTTTTTGCTATAGCACCATCTGACCTGCACCTTTATTCAAGTCTACATATTGAAAATCTTATTTTCAAACACGAGACGTGTGTAGTTTTGAGTCCTGACTTAATTGGGTCAGTTCTCTGCAAAGTCTGCTCACCTCAACTACTTCCATTCATGGTAAGAATGCAAATTCTGATAACATGGTAGAGTGGGGTATACAAATTAGTATAAATGTGAAAAGTTCTATCTAAATTTTATTCAGTTCTACCCAAAACTTGAAGCTTATCTGTCATTTTTGTTTGCGAATTGTGAATAATATTCTTCTCCACGAAACTAATGCTCTATCAAAATTACAAAGAGAAGCTGCATTCAAAAATTTATGTGAAACCTAAAATAAAAATCGACCAAACCTAAACTGCAATATGCACATAGCTTACGAACAAAGATTTGTAAACTCCTATGACGTCATTTCCAGAAGATTTCGAGGGTTACCTTGGAAGAGGATTTTCTCTGCCACGAATCCCGCCTCTCCCAAACGCAAGGCCCGAATGCAACTCCATCCCTGCAAGTCTTAAGGAGCAACAAAACCACAATAATTTAGTATCAAGATTGAATCTCAGAACATAATCTTCTCGATTTTACAATTGTTTCTTCGCAGAACGTGCCGAGGTGCCGAGGGCTCCCCACACCAAGGTGAGCTCAAAATACCACTAAGTCACGAAAATCAATTCAACTCAACCACATGTGCCGCAAGAATTATACCTGCAAGGTCCGGAGACGAGCACCAACGCAGTTGGCAAAACCGCCGAGAGGCGCAGATACAACTGCGTTCATCCTGCAGCCTCAGCGATACACGCTCTACCCACGCCAAATCTCCGCGACTAAATTCCCAACACAACAGCAGAATACGCTACCAACGCCACGCGCAATCGTAGAAAAATTGAGTGTCGTTGTAATAAGAAAGTTAGGGTTAGAGAGATTGCGAACTAGCACAGAAATCCACCATCTCTTGCTGAAAGAGCCGCAGCAAACTGCTCAAATGCGTGTGATAGGATGGATAAGGGCCGACCGGGTGGAGTTGCCGTGCCGCCGTGTGAAAAGGGTTAGCAGCTTCATCACGCCATCCTCCCTGCCCGGGTGACGTGGACTTCCCCATCATTGATATTTCTGGCCTTCGTTGCTTTTCACCTCCAATTTTACCCTGCCCTTGCATTTAGTTTACCCTTTCTAAAACTATTTCCTCGTTTTCTACATTCAATGGTAAATTCTATGGGGTGAATCATGTTGTTTCTGTTTGTAGTTCTTTTTCAGCTTTTCATCATAATTTGTACACGAAAATATCACCCACAAACCTTTTATGACTGTTTGTCTTTTCTTTTCTATTTATAAAAATATTTTGTTCTTTTAGCAATTTGGGTTTTACCAAGGTTAGTATAGATATACTTTACAGGAGGAACATCAAGTGAAGCATGAGTATAGCTCTAATAATTTGTGTGAAAGTAAAAGGAGGAGGAAATTGGAAGAGAGGAAGAAAAAATAATAATAATAATAATAATAATGAATCCAAACTCAAAATATCATGATTTGTTGTCAAATTGTGTTGCTCTGTCATTGCTTTAAAGCTATCCTTCTTTCTTTTATTTTTGTTGTGGTCATCTTTAAATCTAATTTGAATGGAAATCTTTTTGAAATTGAATCAAACTTTTTTCACATTTTCAATCTTATATAAGTATATAAAAATAATCTCATGTAACAGTTCTTAATTCTTTGTTTCTCTTTTGTTTTGATCTTCATTCATATACATTTAATTGGCAATCAAACATTTCTTTATATTTGGTAGTAAATAGCATAAAAAAAAACCCATTCTAATTTTAATTCTAAATTTATTCAAACTAAAAATATGTAGACAATGACTTGAACATGATAATGTTTAATATTATGAGTAGGATTGTGTGTGTGTGTGTATATAGATATATATATATATATATATAAGGAATAGCTAAAGCAACATCTCTATGTTATTAACACAACACCTCCTTAGGTTTTCATGATTAAATCAAACTATATCTTGTCCCGTCTTTGGATTCGAGCCCTGTGTCCCATTCTCAATCCTTGTTCCTTGTCATGTCCCATTCCCAATTTCCATCTCCCATTCCCTATTTCAATCCCTTCATCTCTATTCCTTGCTCCCAATTCCCAATCCGACTCTCTCATCCCCTGTTTATGTTCTCTATTATTATGAACGGTAACAATAAACCTTAAACAAGTTTTTTTTTTTTTTTTTTTTTTTTTTTAAATATAAAAAAAAATTGTGACTAAAATGTTGAAAATATTTCATTAAAATCTTCTAATTGCAATTAAAAGATGATACATCGTGTTTTAATTTAAACATTATTGGATTACTTGATCGTGTTCTATATATTTGTAGAATCTAAAATTTTCCACATGAAATCTAAAATGTGCACATCTTTTGAAACAGACATCATATGTAAAATCCATGGCTAAAGGCTTTAAGGTTCAAGGTTGGTTTTTCAAGTAAGGAATATGAATTGCTTGAAAAGTTGTATATCATAGAAATGGGAATAAGAATGGGATGGGACATGAAGGCTAGGAATGAGGACAAGGGGGTAGAAACAAGGAACATGGGTTGGGAACATGGGTTGGGAACATGGGTTGGGAACATGGGTTGGGAACATGGGTTGGGAACATGGGTTGGGAACATGGGTTGGGAACATGGGTTGGGAACATGGGTTGGGAACATGGGTTGGGAACATGGGTGGGGGGTTGAAAATCGGGACACGGGACAGGAATTAGGAAGGGAATTGGAACTTGGGATGAGAATTGAGACTTGGGATAAACTAAATTAATCATGAGAATCCAAGGGGGTGTTGCATTAACAACACAAGAGAGTTGCTTTAATAACTCCATATATATATATATATTACAAAATTTATTATATTAATTTTATTAGTTTCAAATGTTGTTGCTGATGCACATGTACAAAAAAACTTTGTCTCAAAAATTTCAAACTGGTGTAAAAATTTGGAATAGTAATTTAAAGTATACTTTCATCTAACAAATTCTTTAAGCATTATTACATAAGCTGATTAAAGCTATAAGCTTGGTTTCAACACATTTATTTAAAATATTATAGGCGGTGATCATTGTTTTGAAGGTTTTATTTTTTATTTTTTATGTGTAAATGTGACATTCCTAAGGTCATTTATTTTTTGTTGTGTGGAATAAAAAATAACATAGGAATTCCAACTCAAATATATGCATCCATATATGTTTGAAAGGTATATTATCCATCCATGGCAAATGACTATTGTACAAAAATACCAAAATAAAACAATATATATATATATATATATATATATATATATATTCATCAACACCTTATTGTATAAAATAAATGAAGAAAAACATGTCTTTTTTTTTTTTCTTTCTTTTTTGTCAAATGTTTTTCTAAAGTGATAGATCACACAAAACTGTTTTTGTGATTATAGTTGTTAATTTGCATCAATATGATTTTTTCATCTGTTTTCAACTCTTTCAGACATGTATTCTAAATGTATAGTCTAAAATCCCAGAATAGAGAATAGGCTCTTGATGAATCAATAAAAGTTTAAATTATTAGGAGGGGTCAAACTTTAAAAACAAAGGTGGATATGTGATATACAACTTCCTCACATCAACATTGTTTTCAGAGGATATAAGCACTTCTATGCAATTTGATATACCATCTCTAAGAGGTGGTATTATCAAATATCCACCTCTTACATGAAAAGATATTTTTGCCCTCACATGAGCCAATCATCCTCTTGTGTGCTTGCCCAATTCCACTCATTTCATTACCTTGGTTTTCCCTGTTTCCTTTTTAGGGTACCACACTTTACACCTTTTCTCAATGATGTTTAAAATTTAAAGTAAGGAGGATTATATCATAACATATTAGCAACATTCTTGAGGTAATATAAACTAGTCTCTTAGATTGGCACGGACTAATATTAAATCTGAAAAGATGTAAGAACTTGTATGATTTTGGGATTTTAAAGTTTGACCCACCATATTGATGAATATTGCAAATAAATATTGTTTTGTGTCAAAACAGACACTAATGTATCTTTTGTCCTTGGTGCATTGGTTATATAACTCATTTGTATAAAAGACAGACTTCCCATTGTTGGAAAGAATAAATTTTCAAAATTAAATAAAACATTAATATAATAGTATTATGTGTATATGCATATATGTATATATATATATATATATATATGTACATTGTGTGATTTAGGCCAAATAAATTAATTAGTAAAAAAACAATTTCCAACATTTTATTCATTTGTTGTTGCAGATGATGCTTATGATTGGATGGAAAAACAACAAATAAAATATGATGTTTCGCAAATTTTTTTATTCAATATATATATATATATATATATATATTTGTATTAATATTGCTTTCATGATTGCTTGAAAATTTTCTGGCCTCGTGGTTCAAGTAACTCTATCAAATGATCAATCTATTGTTACAATATATTAATATTCAAGTACTTGTGATTATTTCTGCTGTTGTTGTCCAAAAAACATTCCAATTATTCTCATTCATTAAACCAAATTAATTACGACATATATCTGCTTAATAATATAAAACTAACCAAAAAAAAATCATAGCTTCTACTTGTTCAAGTATATTATCAAAAAGTTTTTTTTTTTTTTTTTTTTTTTTTTTTTTTTAAATGTTAAAGACTACAAATGTTTTCCAATGAAATTTTAGTAAAACAAATTGATTTCAAACCTTGATTAGTTGATTAAGCACAATTGAATATTAGCTGATTTCTTTTCTACACTTTATTTTTAAAAATATTTTATAAAACGTCAAAATCTATGTAATTAATAATCTTCACGTATTGGCATTCCTAGCCAGATCTCAATTCAAACATTCTATATTCAATTCAAATCATAAAGGGATTCAAACTTCTACAACCACTTCAAGGAAGACTCATAAACTCTTAGGAATGCTATTATTTTTTAATTTCCACATGACCAATTTTTTTAATGCATCTCTACAATAGCTAATAAAGATAAAAGACCAAATGAATCTATTCTCAATTTGGTCGATTTTAGCATAAACCATTCTAATTGCATGACTCCCAACATAATTTTTATCATGGCATACTCATCCTAATATATTATACCAATTAAAAAAAAAAATCTAGTATTCTTTCCCTAGTTGCTTCTAATATAAGAATACTGCTTTATGGTTTAAAATAAAACCAAGTCAAGTCTTCAACACAAGGTCATGAATCTCACTAAAGAGGACATGTGTTTAAAAAAAGGGGGGGGGGATAATTGACCAAGTATTTTCTGACCAAGATATCTAACTCTCTTGTGACACATGAAATACAGCTTGAGTAACACTAATATATATCAGCAACGTTGCAGGGACACCAAAGGTCTTCCTGGATGAAAGTGGGCTTGGACTTCCTCCATGATGTGAACGAATGTTCATTCGTTCAGTTTGGAGCCCCGAACGATGGCGGGGCAGGGGAGACATGCAAGCGGAGTTCATGGCATCATTTAATGGAGAAGCTTCAGCTACGCCTCCATCATCCCACTTACTCTTCGTAATCCTCGATCATTCCTGTCACTCTCGCAGTCTCCACCGGGCTAATTTGAACCCGGCCACTCTCAATTTCATTTGAATTCTGCGTTTTCCAGGTACTGGTTTCCATTTTCTCTTGCAGTCTCCATCTCCAACCGAATTTGTTCTTCCAGCTTGTTCACCATTCTCATGAGAAGTCTCACCGTTTCGGCTTCTTCTGTGTCGCAGCTGCCGTCTTGAACAACGTTTACCATGTAGATCGTGTTATGACTTGGTGTCCTTTAGACGTTGCTCATGCAGCGGAAGCGAAATGCAGAGAGCCTGAGAAAGTAGACCATGCCGTATATCGATCGACTTTTCTTTGTAGAATTGGGTGTGAGAGTGACGCATGGTTTGGAATCTGGTTGACTTGCATTTGGACCACCTGACTACTAGTACGCCTGGTTTTGGTTCATTGCTTAGCGATCTTTTTCTGCTTTGTTTTGGATCTTGCGGAAGCTCATGAATCCGCTGTTGTGATTGTTTTAATTTTCTTGAGTTGATCGGGGGTGTTGCTTTTCTCCCTCGGTGAAATGTGATCCATCGATTTGCGTGTACATTGAGATTTGTTTCTGCTCAAAGTTAATGCGAGGTGAGATCTACTGATGCTTGACACAATGGAATCTCGTTTGCGATCTGGTCTGGAGTTTTTGACTTCTTACCGTGCTGACACCATTGTTGTGTATGCCAGTGCCTAAAGTGTAATGACGTTTGCTACACGATACTGCGGAAAACATTGGCCTGGGTTAGAGCAATTAAGCATCCTCGTTATTTTTGACATGTCTACTTTAATTTTCAGTCTGCATTTTAAATTTCATTCCAGTCGATTGAAATGTTTCATTTCATTTCTTGCGCAGTATCTTGAAAAAGCGACGTGGTAATTGTAACATCTCTAACTCTTGCTACTGAAAATCTTTGACAGAGAAGAGAATCAAGAGTTGTGCTGAATCGGATGCTTTGTTAACGCCAGCGATCAAGATGGGTGATACCTCAGGCTATTTCAGTATGCCTTATACTGCAGAATATGAGGCGGAAGTTGCAATTAGTGTTGACGATTTCATGCGCCCTTCAAACGTTGGATTGAGCTACAGCAAACAGAGTGTGCTGAACAGAGGAAGGAAAGGTGGCAGGTCTGCTAATTTACCGAATAAAGGTCATGATCAGCAGTCTTTCTATCATCTGCAACACCGATATACCAAAATGTTTTCCTGGCCCATCATAGCCATAATGATTGGAATCCTCTTCGTTTTAGTAATGTTCCGAGGGTTTGCACTGCCACGTATGGCGACCGGGACAAAGGCTTCGGATCAAAATTTCGAAGAGCTTGACGGACTTAGCTCTACTGAGAGCAGATTAGATGAAAAATTCAATGCAAGAATTCCCCGGGTGATCATAAAAAAGAACCATGAAAGAACCGAAAATATAGGCATGGTGTTCCGACAAAAGGTTTTTGACACGCTACAAGGATTCCTCTTGCAGGTATGCGTAATAAACGAGTTTCACTCACAGCGAAATCTAGATTTATAGTGAATAATGTTTCCCAATGTACCACAAAATACATCTCGTTCTTAACGACTGGAAATCCATCTGCACTCGTGCATGCAGGTTAGTCGACATAGTCACTTGAGAGACGATGGAAGCGGAGACGCAAAAGGGAAATCAGAGGACACTGTATCCAGCGTCCACAAGCAGCACGAAGTGTATCATAACTTTCATCATTTCATAAAGTGAGTTAAATGTTTTACGGCCCATTTCATGCTTCATGATGTAAATTCGTCAGTCTACCTCTGGTTAATTTCAAATAATACAGAAATAACACGTCGGTTGTCCAAATCCTTGCGTTTAGATTAAGTGCAGCTCTTTAAACCGGAACTTGGCCAGTTTAGTTATATTTACTGTGTAACGACGTAATTTCTTGGCCCCTAAAATTTAGCACTCTGTAAGATATATAGTTTGAGTTCACAGGGTGCTAAAATAGAATTACGGTTGGCGCTCTTGTACAGGTTGATTGGTAGCAGAACTTAAAATTCTGCATAATTTTCTTATTTTTAGTCGTTATTCTTTATTGCGCTGAAAATACCTGAAGATTATCGACCTCATTAGCAAGCATTGACATATATTTCGTCGCATTTCGTCACAGAACATATGCAGAAATGCAGAAGACCTTCAAGGTATATGTATATAAGGATGGATACAAGCCACTTGTGCATGCAGCTAAAACAGGAGGAATTTACGCAACAGAGGGCCTCTTTCTCAAGCGTATGGACGATCCTGGCAACAGATACACAGTGTCTGATCCAACGCAAGCGCACATGTTCCTGCTTCCGTACAGTGTCCGCCAGTTAGTGGACTTCATTCAAGACCCATACTCACGGAGTATGCGGCCTCTAAAGACTTTTATTGCGAATTATGTTGAAAGGATCACATCTAAGTACCCATACTGGAACCGGACACGTGGTGCCGACCACTTTTTCGTATCTTGTCACGACTGGGTATGTAAACTGAGGCTTCGAAGAATTTCTCTTGTAAAGGGTCTATATTTTAATCTGCAGGATATTGTTCTGTTTTGCATACGAAATAGTGTTTCAAGTAAACTCTCTGAGACGTTTAGCTCAACTATGGTAAATCTAGCAAAAGATTTAGCAATAGATTTGTATTAGATGTTTAAATGCTCAAACAGATGCCAAATCACTGTTGCCAAGGTCTACAGACTGTTCAGACTGTTTACTTGACGATTCTAATCATTGTTCTACCCATTTGAGAAAAAATGTGACTTTCTGAGGCACTTACTTCTACTTTCTTTGACACAGGCACCACTGTCGACCATACTTCATGATGAGCTTCACAATAACTCTATGAAAGTGGTTTGTAATGCTGATCTCACAGCAAATTTTGATATTCAGAAAGATGTTTCTATTCCGCAGGCAGTTAAGGGTGGAAATCAATCAGAATTAGATATTGATAATTTACCTCCAGGCAAGAGGGATTATTTAGCGTTCTACGCCGGCCAAATGCACGGCCTTGTGAGACCGGTGTTAATACAACACTGGAGAGGTAAAGATTCGAGCATGAAAGTTTACGAAGTCCTACCTCCCGAAATTGCTAAAAACATCTCATATGCTCAACATATGAAACGAAGCAAATTTTGCTTGTGTCCTAAAGGCTTTGAGGTTAACAGTCCGAGGATTGTGGAGGCCATCTTGAGTGGCTGTGTCCCAGTTATTATAGCTGACAACTTCGTTCTCCCCTTCAGCAATGTGCTGGATTGGTCGAAGTTTTCCATCACTGTGGAGGAGAAGGACATCCCTAATTTGAAAAGGATCTTGACCAATGTACCAGATGGTACTTATCGCTCCATGCAGAGCTGTCTGAAGTACATCAGAAGGCATTTTGTTTGGCTTGAAGATCAGGAGGATACCCAATATGATTCATTTCACATGACCATGTATTCTATTTGGAGGCAGAGCTTGAACTTGAAGAATAAATTGGAAGTCTTCCAGGGTCACATTTTGCCCACTGAGAATTAGGTTGTGCTCTATGTCATAAACGGAGTGCTCAGGATCTTGCCAAGGCAATCTTCAATTTGTGAGCTCAAATTACTCGTGCTGAATGCACCTATTCAGTCCAACTCAAAACCTTTCAATGAGCAGTAAGTTGATGCATCCACAAATGATTCCAAATTTGCTTTGGGCCATGTTAATTTAAGGTGGGGGGAACAGCAAATGACATGGTTTGTTAATAAACCATGACAGCACATTTGAAGTGCACTCTGAGTGCAGCCTGTTTTTACAATTTGTAGACTTGAGATTGGCATGCAACATTAGTAGTATCTAGCAACTTCTTCCGTGCATAGGGGTCTCATTTGTTGTGCTTTTGCTTGGACAACATTGTTAAAACTTTAAGATTGATTGAATGTGCTGATTCCTATGGTGCTTCTTGATTTGTACACCAGTCTTGTTGGTAAAAACATTACAAAACTTCAGTAATAACCAAACTTCAAAATATTCAATTTTACTGATGTGCTGTATTGTGATAATTTTCTTGAAAGAGGAGCAGGCTTCCAAATTGCAAGACTTGAAGAAATGTTGAAGCAATACAGTGTGAAGGCGCAAAACTTAGAGGCATGTACAAGATGCATGTGCTCGTCCTATTTTCTTCTCAAAACAGAGATTTGAAATAACCATCTCAACATTCCTCTCAATGATATGATCAGCTTTGCATACTTTTCTAACAATCCAAACACAACAAACTATATCAATATAGTCTAATTCTATCTTTATTTAATGTAATTTAGATAATTTGAGTATTCTTTTATTTTCTCACATATTTGGTATTTTGTAAGGTAGATGTGTACCAGCCATTTCAAATATGCAAACATATTTGTAAGAAGGTATCAAATGCGTTATACATCTTTCTTTTTCTTTATAGGTTTTCATATCTTAATTATAAGAGCCATTTGTTTTAAAGTTGATAAGTGTCAATTAATTCCTATCAATTTATTATAGAAATTTGATGGCTTTGTTGAATTTTTATTTTTATTTTATTTTATTTTATTTTTTTTAAACTACTCTAAGTACTTTTAGAATATTTTGACTTAAAATGTGTGTTTATTGCAATATAGACATTTTAATAACCTCTTTGTATTAAAGTAATACTTTTCTTTGTATAAGGGTTTTCAAATGCCATAGTTGATTTTTTTAAGATACACATTTGAGGTTTTTTTATTGTTTGTAATTTAAATATTAATAATTTGATAAAAATATTATATTATTATTTTTTAAAATTTTAGAAGTGAATATATATATATATATATATATATATATATGTAGTTTTATTTTAAAGAGATGAAAGAAAAAATTATGGATATTACATTCAATAAAAATAAAAATAGATTTGTAACTATTATAGATCTTTTTAAGCTTGTGAACACTCTTGGGATTAAAATCTCACATATTTCAAATGTCAACCTTAGAAGTACTATTCCTATATTCATTAAAAAGTCAATAATAAAGTTTAATGTCTATACCAAGAAGTTGTGTAGTTAAAAGAAGTAAGTGGATCAATATCACAATTAAATCCAAAAAAATTTGCTACTAGAAGTATGAATGAGACAAAGATAAATATATTGAAGAAGTTTAAAGAAAAAAGATTAAAATTTTGAAGGTTTTTATAACAAGTCAAGTTCTATTTAAGATAACATTATTGCCAATACTTTAATAGATTTATTTAAGTTTGATTTATAAGTGCACTTTGGTTTGGATTTTTTTTTTTTTTTTTTTTTTTTTAAATTTATGCCTTTGATAGAAAATGATTCATAGCTCTTCTATTATCTAAATTCATTCTTAAAAATATTTATGATCATTTTTTAAAAAAGTGATAAGAAATGATATTAAAGATCAAATTTTTATTTTTACAACAAAGATCACATTCTACTACCATATATGCTATTGAATTCCAAAACCTTGCTTGCAACATGGATTGAAATAATAAAGCCTTTATTAATCAATTTTAATATAATTTAAATGATAATATCAAATATTTGTTATCAATAATATCAAAAATTGACTCATTAGAATAATTTATTGCTTAAGCCATTGCATACAACACTCGATTTTTTGAAAGATGCCAAGAACAAAGATTTAGTTGGAGGGATATAACTCAAGTTATGGTAATAATTTTTAAGTTTTAAAAAACTTATTCATCAAGGCCAAGACTTATGTAAATTGATATGGTATATTATAAACCTCCCATTCAATAAGAAAAAACTTGATATTTTCAAGAAGATTTATACTTATTTTATAGAGAATCTAAGCACAAAACTTATTATTTTTCAAAGAATCAATGCAATCACAAAATAAAGAATATGGTTGCCAAAGAAGACAATGTGTTTAATTTTTTTTTTTTTTGTAGCTTCAATAGCAATCATGCTACTAAAAACTTATATAACATCTAATAAAGGTCTTATTTTTTCCTTAGATCTTTTATCTTATTTAACAATAGATGTTTATTTAGGACCACAAAATTGCAAAATCCTTGCTTTATTAGATTTAGAAGTATTAGATTGTTTTATAAATAAAAATTTTGGAAAAAAATAAGAAATACCTTTAGCAAATAAAAACTAAGCTTGTATATATAGAAGTCAAAGATGATTATTTTTTGTCTTCTAAAAATATTACTCATAAAAAAAAATCTTTAGAAATAGTAACTAATAGACTTAAAAACTCAATAATATTTAATGTGAGTAGATCTCTATTCAACCTAGTTATTTTATGATTATTATGACTACAACATTATAACCATTAAATAGACTAAATATCTTATAATATTAATTTTATTTGTAGTATAATTCAAAATTTTATTATCTAAGTAAAAATTCATAAGTCCAATATAACCAAATATTTATTGATAGTTATAATAGCTTTTATATATGCTATGAAAGAAGAATCATCATTTGATATTTACTCCACATCCATTTTGGATAGTAAAAAGACTTTAAGTGGTATTCTAAATTAATTCAAAGATTATCAAGATGTTTTTGAAAAAAAGAATGCATATATTTTTTTCAAGTATTGTTCCAATGATTATTCAATTGATCTTTAAGAAAGAGTTCAACCACCATTGGAAATAATTTATGGCTTATTGTTAGGGACATAGTCCTTAGAACCTTCTAGAGATAAGTTTTTGGAACCTTCTAGAAGCTTCTTAGTTGATGGAAGTTGCTTGAGAAGTTTTCTAGTTGATAGAAGTTGCTTGAGAAGCTTCTTAGTTGATGGAAGTTACTTGAGAAGCTTCCTAGTTGATGAAAGTTGCTTGAGAAGCTTCCTAGTTGATGGAAGTTGCTTGAGAAGCTTCCTAAATAGGAGTATATATTGAAATCGAGGCTGAAGAGTTCTTTAGTCTCGACAACACATCTCTTGGAGCTCTAGCTCATCTCTATTGTGTTGTTCTTGTATTCATCTGATTAATCTAGTTCTTGCTAGTTCTTCTTGAACTTCTTGTTAGATCTCGAGTCTGTATTTCTGTGTCTGTGACAGTTTGTCGAGAGTGTACTTACCTCAGATATCAGAGTTAGTTTCTTCCTCGTTAGAGTGCGGATTACCCCTCTGCTTGGAAGTGTACTAGCATTTTAGAGGTTGCGGATTACCTTCTTCTAAACTGATACTTCTTTTGTTACAATATTGGAGTCTTATTCTTCTTCGAGAGAGTGGATTACCCCTTTTTTCGAAGCTATTAAGGCATTTTAGAGGTTGTGGAGTAGCCTCCTCTAAACCAATATTGTCTTCTTGTAGAGTCATTTCTGTCCTTCTCTTAGAATGATCGGAGGCCAAGACATTAGTAAGACGAAAAGTTTGGAGTCCAAATGAGATACTATCATGAATGCCCTCACTACGTTATCGCAAAGAACTGCAGAGATTGAAGGAGTCGTGGCAAGGCTTTATAATGATGGAGCATCTGGGATGGCACAATCAAGGTTGCACCAGCCTCAAACTTCTACACTTGGAGAAGCAACTTTACCTCAGGTTCGACAAGCACCACTGGTTCTACAACATAAGGAGCCCTGAGTTAGCCTTCCAGACAAGTTCGATGGTACGCGTTCCAAGTTTCGAGGATTCGTCAACCAAATGAGGTTGATAACAGTTTTACAGCCTGAACGCTATCCAATGGAGGAGTCACATGTTGGGCTTGTTGGAACCTTACTTACAGGGCAAGCTCTATCATGGTTTGCTCCTTTGTTTGAGAAACGATCGTCCATACTAAACAACTTTGAAACCTTTTTGGAGGCGTTTGCGGAAGCATTTGGTGAACATGACAAGGTTCGATGGGCTACAACAAAGATCCGGTCACTACGATAAGGGATGCGCTCTACATCAGTCTATGCATCGGACTTCAGGCAATTAGCATGCAACATCAATTGGGACTAAGAAGCGTTGATGAGTCAATTCTATTGCGGTTTAAGGGATGATGTGAAGGATTTGCTGTTAACTCTTCTTGATCCACAAACGCTCAACGAAGCTATTAGCCAAGCTGTGAAGTGCGATAATCACCTATTTCAATGCCGCCAAGACCAACGTTTAAGACAACATACGGTTCGCCATGCCCCAACTATGTCCGCAAGCAGCGTGAATTCACATTCAGAGGTAGAAGACATGCAAATTGATGCGGTACATGTCAAATCCCTTACCCTAGAAGAAAAAAAGCAGCGTATGGAAGAAGGTCTATGCTTGTATTGCGGTGAAGAAGGCCACAAAGTTGGAAACTGCCCCAAGAAGCAAAATCGACGTATTGTCAAGACTAGGGGCACGTTTGTTCAGGAAAACGAGGATGCTCAGCCACAATAGGAACCGTGCAGCTGGACAGTGAAATATCGCAACAACAACCAGGTTCCTATCTTTTCGCTCAACTTGCCCTTTGCTTTACAATCCTTTTGCTTATTGGCCTTCAGAAATTAAGAACTTTAGCATTATTAGATTCAAGAGCATCTGCTTGTTTCTTAGACGAAGAATTTGTGAAGCGTCATAAGATCCCTTTAGTACAAAAATCCAAACCTGTTCATATTGAGGTCATAGATGGACGATCTTTATTGTCTAGTAGTGTCACCCATGAATCAGAACCTATAGAAGTGATGCTTAAGGGCCATAGTAGTTATATTATTTTCATCATTATCAGAAACCCATCAAATCCTATTATTCTTGGTCTTTCTTGGTTGGAAAAGCATAATCCATCCATAGATTGGAGATTGCGAAAGATGACCTTTCCCACGAAACCACCCAAGAGCAAGCCTAGTAAAAAACCCCGAATAGAGAAATCCTTATTCATTGGAGCAAGAGCGTTTATAAAATCGTCCAAGGAAGGCACCGTTTGTTATTTATGGGACTCCAACTACTGGGGAGAAGATCTCGACAGCAAGTATACCTGAGCAATATAAGGATTTTAAAGACGTATTTCAAAAGAAGAATGCCGACATAGTACCAGAACCTCGACCATATGATTGCGCCATAGACTTGCAGGAAGGAGCACAACCGCCTTTTAGCCCAATCTATAATCTATCGCAGACGGAGTTGGCAGAGTTGGGGAAGTACATCGACGAGAATCTAGCCAAGAACTTCATCCGTCATTCAAAATCGTCAGCTAGAACATCCATCTTATTTGTGAAGAAGAAAGATGGCTCGTTGCGGATGTGCGTGGACTATTGAGGCGTCAACAAGGTAACAAAGAAGAATCATTATCCGTTACCCTTGATTTCTGGTCACTTAGAACAACTTGGACGTGCAAGGATCTTTACAAAAATTGATCTAAGAGGAGCTTACAACCTCGTACGAATCAAAGAAGGAGATGAGTGGAAGACAGCATTTCGTACAAGGTATGGCCATTTTGAGTATAATGTCATGTCCTTTGGTCTTATCAATGCTCCAATGATC